GGTCTCGCCCTCGCGCCTCGGGTGGGCCGCCTTGTGCTGCGCGAAGCTCCGGCCTGCTGCCGCGTCCGCTGGTGGCACGCGGGCGGCGGCTGCTGCGTCGAGGTCCCCCTCGGAGTCGCTCAGGAGCTGGACCGACCGCGTGGGACTGCGGCTGGTCCTCCGCGCTGCTGGCTGCTTCTTCCCGGCGGGGGGAACTGCGGGACCGTCGCCTGGAACTCGTCCGGCAAGGATCCTCATCGCCTCGGGCGATCCCGAGACTGGCGTCCCGGGAGCAGGGGGGCGGGGGGCGCGCCTCCGCGCGCCCATGGCCTGCAGGTGCCGTCCCCCCCTGCAACGGAGACGGCTCCCGGCCAGACCCCTAGCCCGGCCTGCGGTCTGCAAGTCGCTGGCGGAGTTCGGCGACCTTCAGCTCCCGGGCCTCGACCTTCTCGGCAGCGTTCTCCTCGTCCAGAGAGGCGCCTGATGGAAGCTGTTCCTGTGCGACAAGCGTGAGCCACCGTGCCGACCGCCAGTTCCCGTCGCGGATGGCCATCGTCCGCGCCTTGAACTCCTGCATGAGCAGGTCCGCAGTCTCGACGACCTCTCCGCGCAGGATGCCGTCGAGCGCCAGCCCCAGCGTGCGGAGGATCCGCACCTCGTCCGTCCCCAGCGTCCGCGGCGGGTGAGCAACGAAGAACACCGTGTTCAAGAACTGCGTGACACACGGGGCCAGAGGGTCGGCCTCGCCTGCGGACAACTGCTGGGTGAACTGGCTGCGCAGGTGGCCAAGCCCGTTCTCGAGGAGAGCGCCGGGCCGCTGCCGAGCGATCCTGCGGAACAAGTCCCGCTTGATGCCCACGCCCTGGTAGCGGTCGCGGCCCCCAAGGCGCTCCGTGTCGCTCTCCGCGCCGTCCTCCGCGTCGTCGTCGTCGCGGCCCAGGAGCGCCGCGGTCAAGGCTGATGCCAGCCTGCTCCTCGACCCTGCGGTGCCTGTGCGCGCAGGGGCAGCAGCGGCGGCTCGGCCGGCCACCACCTGCGCCAGGCGCTCGCCTACCGCTCCTGCTGGGCGCGCAGCATTCTTGGGCGTGCCCTGCCTCGGCACACCACGAGCTGCCCTGCCCCCGAGCCGCGCCAGCCGCGCCTCGAGCTCTGGGTCCTCGGCAGTCTCCTCGAGCCCTGCAATCTCCTGGTCGAGAGGGCTCGCCTCTCCTGGTCCGCCTGGGGTCGGGGTGCCCTCCACCTCGCGGGCCCGCTTGCGCGGCGGCCCGCGAGGCTCCTCCTCGTCCTCGTTGCCCCCATCCCCGGGCGGCCAGCCGCCGAGCTCTCCAGGCAAAGGCTCGGCCGTGGGCGCATCGGTCATCACAAGCGCTCCAGGATCCGCGGCCGGGCAGATGAGCTTCGCCTGCTCGCGGGCCACGTCGCGGGGGTCCACCACCTGCCACACGTCCAAGTGCTCGACCACTGCGCCCACAGGAGCGACTGCCCCGCACTCGTCGGCGCTGCACTTGCAGAGGTGGAAGACCGTGGCCAGGGGCCGCGCGCCCCGCTGCCCGCAGGAGGCTGCATACCACGAGAAGTACGGGTCGCTGGCGCCCACATGCCGGCCCTTGAAGTACCGGCCGAATGCGTCCGCCTGGTAGGCGACCTCCACCTCGAGCATCTCGACGCCCTGCGGCGCCCCGAAGTCGTCCTTGACCCGCGCCAGGACCCGAGCTCCAGCCGCCAGCGGCAGCCCCGGCACCAGCTCGCCGTTCAGCGCTGCGTCGAGCCAGGCCCCCCGCGGGAAGGGCCACCCGACCGCTGCCGGGGCTGCCCGCTCCATCGGGCTCCTCGCCAGCAGCACCGCGGGAGAGGGGCGACCCGCGCCCGGGATCCTCGTCTCCCAGCCAGGTCTTCGCTCCCCTCAACCCACAAAGGCTGCCAGCGAGGCTGATCAGAATCAGTCGGCCGAGCGTGGCCCTCCAAGCGGCCGCGCTCGGCGCGGCAACCTTCAGTAGACAGAGTGGCTCGGCAGCGGCCACAGACGGGCGGGACCGCCCGGTGACTCCGCTGCCTGTCTCCAGCCAACACAGCTACGGAAGATGGATGAAACTCAACCGTTCCCCATCAACGGCGTCGCGCACGCTCAGGTGGACTCCGCATAGGCTTCCTTGGAAGGTTACTATATATATACAGTATGGTAAGAGCTGTGCGAGTGGCAAGAGTAGAAGGTGGGGTCGGGACTGCAGTAAGATCTGCATAATTACTTGATGTAGGAGTTGCAGTGGGAGCTGTGCGATTGGCTGCAACAGGACCTGCAATGGGGGCTCTAGTCAGGGATGTAGTAGTGCTGCAGTAGACGTTGTAGCAGGAACTGTATCAATAGCTGTGGTAGGAACTGTACTGAGAGCTGTGAGAATTGTACTACGGGTTGTGATATGGATTGGGGTAGGAACTGTACTGTGAGCTGTACTGGACGCTGTCCTGATTTGTAACAGGAGCTATCATAGGAGTTGTAGTGAGAGCTGCGCTGCTGCTTGTACTAGGAATTGTGGTGGGAATGCAAGTGGGAGATGCATGACAGCTGCAACAAACGCTGCATCAAGGACTGTATCAATAGCTTTGGTATGACCTGTGTTGTGAACTCCTGCGAAGGCTGTGTTACTGGCTGTAATATTAATTGCAGCAAGTCGTAGAACTGAGCTTTGAGCTGTTCTGAAAGTTGTCTAATGGTTGTAGTAGGACCCGCAGCAGGAGTTGCAAACAGAGCGTTCGCACGACGACCAGGAACGGGGGTGGAAGAGAGCAATGTGGACGAGAGTGGCAGACAGGAGGAGAGCGAGAGCGAGAACGGAAGAATGGAAGCAGGAATCGCCGAGCACAAGGCACATGTATGATCACCTAGGGTGGGGGCTCGGCCACAAGAAACCTCCGCAAGAAACCCAACCCTGAAATACGCGATTTGTTCAGTGAAAATCCACATGTGTCGATCGAAAATCGTCAAGATCTGATTGGGAGCCCATCAAAATCCAAGAAACCCAGGGCCACTGGCAAAATCCAACTGGTTTCTTGGCACGCGCCCCCACTGTCGGGTGGCGGGGGGGGAGCATACGTATCCTAGCAGGTGCACTTGCACCCGGTGGTTCTTGAGGGTGGTTGATGGTGTTTCACGGTGTGCTGTATGCCGGACGCGGTCGGCGCCTGGCCAGATCGCTGCTGCGGCTGCTCTTCACATCGCGAGCCAAGCTGCGGGTCAGGTCAGGCCAGTCTCCTTGCGCCTGACAGTGCGCAAACAAAAGAAAACGCGAATGAGATCTTAACACCAATCCGCAACCCCAACCGCTAAGGGTGAAACGCCGATGCATCTGGAAGCCAGGGGAAACAGAGAGAGAGAGAGAGAAAAAAAAAAAAAAAAAAAAAAAAAAAAAGGAGAGATAGAGAGATGCACATGCAGTGCAGAACTTGGTGTGAGAAATGGGAATGCAGAGTAGCGTCGATGGGAACCCATGGGCGAAGACAACGCGCAGACCGATGACTAGTACGGAATTGTTTAGCAGGGGGCGCATTCACAATCAACGCGTGTCGGCGGTCTAACTATCCTCGGAAGCCGGGTGCTCACACCTGCCAGGCATCCTGGCCTCCTTGAAGCGTGCTCCACCGTCGATGTCCCCCCTGCATGCAACAACCAGCTCTTCAAGGCAACGATGGCGGAGGTGAGAATGGCAGCGTCGACAGAGATCCCTCGCATGGTGGAGATCATGACTGCCACAATCGCCGCAGTTCTGCCGACATCGATGGTGCCGCATCGGCAGCTCGCGATAGCGACTATCAGGATTAGGTCGGGCATGTCCCCCTACATGCGAATTCTGGCGAAAAAATCATGTCAGGAAATAATCGAAACATCGTCCCCAAAGTTTACTTTTTACCTAACAGCGTTTGCTGATAGGTTTCTAGTAGGGTCAAAAGAGAGCATCATGACTCCTCAGGGGGGTCTGGGCGGGTGCCAGGGAGGAGAACCGGGAATCGTTTCAGTCACACACTTCGTGCTCTTCGACCTCCCAGAACTCCATTCCCGGGACACATTCTGGAGAACCGGGAACAGAGCCGGGCTCGCTTTTCGCCAACAGTCACACACTTCGTGCTCTTCGACCTCCCAGAACTCCATTCCCGGGCTACATTTTGGATGCCCGGAGCCAACTGTAGGCCACTTCGTGGTCTTCGAGTTCCCAGAACTCCATTCCCGGGCCACATTTTGGATGCCCGGAGCCAACTGTAGGCCACTTCGTGGTCTTCGAGTTCCCAGAACTCCATTCCCGGGCCACATTTTGGATGCCCGGAGCCAACTGTAGGCCACTTCGTGCTCTTCGAGTTCCCAGAACTCCATTCCTGGGCATGATTTTGAATGCCCGGAGCCAACTGTAGGCCACTTCGTGTTCTTCGAGTTCCCAGAACTCCATTCCCGGGCCACATTTTGAATGCTGAGGCAGGCTGATGCTGAGGCTGAGGCAGGCTGAGGCTGAGGCAGGCTGAGGCTGAGGCCGAGGCTGAAGGCAGACTGAGGCTGAGGCTGAAGCAGGCTGAGGCTGAGGCTGAGGCAGGCTGAGGCTGAGGCTGAGGCAGGCTGATGCTGAGGCAGGCTGAGGCTGAGGCTGAGGCTGATGCAGGCTGAGGCTGAGGCAGGCTGAGGCTGAGGCCGAGGCTGAAGGCAGACTGAGGCTGAGGCTGAAGCAGGCTGAGGCTGAGGCTGAGGCAGGCTGAGGCTGAGGCAGGCTGAGGCTGAGGCTGAGGCAGGCTGAGGCTGAGGCTGTGACTGCGACTGCCGTTGCCACTGCGACTGTCATCGCGAATGCGACTACGACTGCGAGAACAGCAGAATTCTACAACTGGATTATCATCTGAATCTTAAGGGGAATGCTTCCAGATATGCTCCTACACATCGCTGGTAGGTTGCTTTGCCGGGATAATTTTGAATATTCCTCCTGTAGAGGGACAGGCCCGACTTCATACTAGGAGTAACAGCCCAGGCAGAAACGGCACGTGTCCTTCGGCACGTGAGGGTGTGCGGATGTGCGGGACCCAACGTCGACTCGTACGCGTCGAGCGCCTCGTTGCTCAGCGGCTCTGCCTGGGAGTCTCTGGGCGCCGGCAGACCGAGCGGCGGGCATCACGCGCTCGACACCAACACGACCCACCAAACGCTCGTGCAATAGCACGCGTAATTGATGCAGCTGCTGGACCACCGCCACAATCACACAACCACTAGTGCTGCAATTCGCGGCTACCCCAGCTCGTACGCCGAAGTCTAGATTTAGACGTTTACGCTTCCACTCCAAAGCAAAGCACTTGATCGGTGTTCAGACAAGTGAGCGCAGACAGACACACACACACACACACTTACGCATATCCTCTTGTTTGATAATGGGAGGAGAGCGCGGCCGCAAGAGCTCCGCACAACGCGGCTGCCAACTCAGTGCTGCAAAATTAGAAGGCAGCGTGCAGAAAAGAAACTCGAAACAAGATATGTTCAGTGGTCGCTACACGGGCGCACGCCACAACGCGTGCATCGACCCCGCTCGGTAGAGCCCCCAGGGTCGGGCAAAAAGCTGTTCGTGGGGACGGGATGTCGAGGGCACTAAACTATAAAAAGAAAGCCAGTGGAGGGGAGCAGGACGAGGGGGGGAGGAGGGGAGCGAGAGGAGAAGATAATAATAATAATACTAATAGTCGTAAACTTAAATATAATAATAACGCGGCATAGAAGCGCGCCGTGATTCGAGTTTGCCAGACGTCCAGGGCAAGCAGGAGGCCAGCGTAGGCCACTACACGCGAACTAGAACGCAAACGCTTGGCAAACGACATCTGTAAAGGCACTCGGAACAACTCGCAGGTGTTTACACGGCTGCCAGCCGAAGCTGGGCTGTAAACCAGGAGACAGGCAAGGGGGCCCAGACAGGCCACAACAAGCACATCTCGGGCCCTGGGGAACCGCCGCACCGACGTGTGGGGTACGAGGGACGCACTGTGAATGTCGAAGTTGGTACCGAAACAGACTGAGAAGACAAGGAGAAGAACACTTGGCACCGAAACAGAATCCGTCACTTAAAGCGGTGGTATACAATGCAAGCCTAAAGCCCCGTAGCGGGCTTTTCTTTACGTGACCACGAAGCCCGCAAGATACGGGAAGGCAAATCGAATGCACGCGTAGTGGCCTAGTGCACGAATCACACAGTTTGCACACATCTAGCACTGCATCGCATTGCGTCGGCAAGAACACGCCGGCGCGCATACACACGTACACGCATATGTATCATACATCTACACGCATATCGACCACCGTGCCCGCGGGAGGCTCGGCCGTGACACTTGAAATGCTCATTTGCCCGAGGGTGAGGCTTATGTCATTTTCGATGGGCGATCCTCTCGTACGGTCGAAACCGGGCATGCTCGAAAAGCTTCGGCATGGGCGCCGAAGGGGCTTGCATCCTTACCGCGCATCCTTCCTCTCAATTTTGGATGTACGGAACCATGCAACAGCCCCGTGCCGGGTCCTCGCCAACATCGGCCTCAGACGGTCGAACTAGTAGGCGCCAAGAAGCCGCCGACGGCTGGTATTCTATTGCCAGGGGGGTGATAGTCTCCAGACAGCAAAGGAACACCAACCCTGTGTCAGGCTTGTGCGCGACCAGTGACCCTTCCATCAGCACGACGCGCTGGAAGGAGGGCGCGCGGACGAGTCAAGCCGGCGCGCTGCGCGTCTGTACGCGCCTGGCGATCGGCTGCGTCAAGGGCCTGCAATTGACTGTCTGGCAGAGGCTGCCGACGGCTGCGCGTGATATCCGCCACACCGTGCCCTCGCGGCACAGCATGGAGTGCCCCCAGGTCCCCTGCCTACACATTTCGTTCATTTCTAATCGTGTTCTGTTCTACTTGTGCTCGTTTCTAACTGTTTCTGGCCTCCTAGTGGCCAGGAAGAGGCCCAGGATAGAACACTTTGAAATGAAAGGATCTTGGCCCCCCAAAAATCAAAGAACCTTCGAAAAGTTGGAAATGAACCATGTGTAACCCCTTAGGCCTCAATCGTCCATCCTGGGAATTCCAGGCAGGGCCCGGACCCCAGATTCTCAAATCGTCTTGGGCTCCTGGCGTGCCCCCCCGCGGCTCCCCGCGGCTTCCCGCGTGATCCGTTCGGGGCCAGGAGGGCCCCAAGACGGGCCAGGACGGTCCCAAGCGGCCCCCAGGGCGGTCCACGAGGGCCCCGAATCGCAGGGCAATCGGTCCAAGACGCCCAAGATGGCCCCAAGTCGGCCGAAAACGCGCCCAAGACGCCCCAAGGGGTCTCCAAGAGCACTCTCAAGAGGGCCCCAAGAAGCAACAATCATATATATATATATATATATGTATATATATGTGCATACATACAAACATACATACATACATGCATACAAACAAACAAACAAACAAACAAACAAACAAACAAACATACACACACCTACATACATACATACATACATACATACATACATACATACATACATACATGCATACATACATACATACATACATACATACATACATACATACATACATACATACATACATACATTACATGCATGCATACAAACATACATACATACATACATACATACATACATTCATTCATTCATACATACATACATACATACATACATACATATATACATACATATATATATATATATATATATATATATATCCGGAGGTTAACAATATTTTGGATGTTCTCACGTTTTCGAGCTTCCGACGCTCCAGTACGTCCAGAGGCCCCCAAGACCGCCCCAAGACACAGCCCCAGAGGCCCCCAAAAGGGCACCAAGACGGCCCAAGAGGGCTCCCCAAGAGCCCTGAGAGGCCCCGAAAAAGTCCCCCAGAGGCCTCAGATCTGCCTCCAGGAGATTCATGAGAGGCCTCGACGAGATCCCAACGAACATTCAAGAGGGCTCAGACTCACAACCCAGGCACGGCGGCGGGATGGGCCGAAGGCCACTCTATCCGCCGCCCTCTGTGCTTGTCACAAGGGTGCCCGGCGTGCTGGATCCTTTCGGTCTTGGTTCTATTAGAAGTCCCCCCGGGGCTTCGGCCCAGCGCGCCGGCCACCCGGAAGGGACCGGAAACTGCACATGTCAATGCCTTTCCCGCCCAAGACTGCCCAAATGGACTCCAAGATGCCTCCAAGACGGCCAAGATGGCCCAAGATGGCCTCTAAATCCGCCTACGATGGTCCAAGATGGCCTCCAAGACGGCCCAAGAGGGTCCAAGATGCCTCCAAGTCCGCCCAAGAAGCCACCAAGACGGCCCCAAAGGCCTCCCAAGAGGGCACCAATACGGCCCAAGAGGGCTCCAAGAGGTTCTCTAGGATGGCCCGACGAAGTGAAAATCATTGATTGTCCTTAGGTTTCTTTGTCAAAAAAAAAAATGCGGCATTTGCTTTTTTCCGGCCTTCAGACCGCCCGAGACGGCCCCCAAAGATCGCCCCAATATCGCCATAGAGGCCTCCAAGATGGCCCCAGAACGGCCAAAGAGGGCCCCAATACCGCCCCAGGAGGGCGACAAGCCGGCACAATATGCCTCCAAGACGCCCAAGATAGCCCCCAAGACGGCCCTGGAGCACCCCAAGGGGCCCCCAGTCGGCCCAGAGGCCCCCAAGACAGCTTCCGACGGCCTCTGACGGGCCAGGAGCCCACCAAGATTTCCCAAGATGGCTGTAAGATGGCCCAAGACGGCCCGAAAAGGCCCTCAAGAGGCCTCCAAGACGGCCCAGGAGGCCTCCAAGAGGGCCTCCAGGAAGACCTGAAGAGGCCAAAATCATTGATTTCCCGTAGGTTTTTGAAGGATGTTGGCGTTTGCTTCTTTTCGGCATTCCAACGGCCCAAATGGCCCGAGACGGCCCCCAAAGATCGCCCCAATATCGCCCAAGAGGCCTCCAAGATGGCCCCAGAACGGCCCCAAGAAGGCCAATACCGCCCCAGGAGGGCGACCAGACGGCACAATATGCCTCCAAGACGCCCAAGATAGCCCCCAAGACGGCCCTGGAGCACCCCACGAGGGCACCCAGTTGGCTCAGAGGCCCCCAAGACAGCTTCCGACGGCCTCTGACGGGCCAGGAGCTCACCAGCCCAAGATGGGTCCAAGGTGGCCCAAGACGGCCCCAAAGGCCTCCAAGACGGCCCAAGAGGCCTCCAAGAGGGCCTCCAGGAAGGCCCGAAGAGGCCGAAATTATTAATTTTCCTTAGGTTTGAAGGATGTTGGCACGAGACGGCCCAAGAGCCCAGAAAGATCGCCCAAGAGGCCTCCAGAACTGCCCCAGAACGGTCCAAGAGGCCCCCAAGGCGGCCCCAAGAGGGCACCTAGACGGCCCAAGAAGCCTTCAAGACTCCCAAGATGGCATTCAAGGCGGCCCTGGAGCACCCCAAGAGGGCTTCCAATCGGCCCAGAGAGGGCTTCCGACGGCGTCGGACGGGCCAGGCATGCCCTGAGACGGCCAAAGAGGCCCCCGAGAAGCTCCCAAAGGCGCCCAAGAGGCTCAAGGAGGCCCCTAAGATGCCTCCAAGAGGCTCCCAGGAAGCTCTCAGGAGGTCCCAAGAGTGCCCCCCAGAGGCTCCCAAGATGCCACGTCCTCCTCCTCATCCTCCTCCTCCTCCTCCTCCTCCTCCTCCTCCTCTTCTCCCCCTCCTCCTCTTCTTCCTCTTCCTTCTCCTCCTCTCCTCCGTCTGCTGCTGGTGCTGCTGCTGCTGCTGCTGCTCCTCCTCCTCCTCCTCCTGATCTTCCCCGCCATCCCCCTCCCCAAGTGTTCCCCGAAGGGTTTCCACAACGGTTGGGGGAACACATGATCCGATAGCTTGGCAGAGCTCTTGCAACAACGCTCGGACACATGGGCGCTTTCAAACCTCTTGCTCCCCCACGCGTTTCCCGAAGGCTCTCCAAACCGACTCGGGGTACAACTGGCCCGATAAATTGGCCAAGCTCTAGCCCAGCTGTCGGCCACACTGGCCCTTCCACAAGGGCAGGGGGCGGCGGTGAGTCGCCGCAGGCGTCTTTGACATATATGTATAGATGCATGTATATACGCGCAGGTGGAAGTACCAACACAGGCGCACACACACACGTACAACATACACATATGTATGTATGGTTGTATATATGATTATAGACAGTTGCACATGTATGCATGTAGGTGTGTATGTGTGCATACATGCATGCATACATGTATGTACACATGCCTGCATGCATGACTGTACATTTGCTTACACGTGTGTATGTATACTTATACACATATGCATGCATACACGTATGTATATATGCATGCATGCGCATGCGCATGTATACATGTACATCGGTTTGTGTATACACACATCTCTATGTGTGTGCGTGCATATTCACACACACACCTATATATATATATATATATATATATATATATATATATATATATATGTATATCGATATGCGCACGAGCCCCTGTGCCTTGAGGCAAGAAGCGGAGTGCTGCCCATGCGTCTAGAGCTCTGTGCCCTAAATGCAGCATTGAACAGTTCGACTTCGGGGCAGGGAGCCTCCCGCGGTCCCGCGCTTCGCATTATGACTCTTTCCAGAAGCACAAGGACCCCCACGACGCGCCAAGAGGGCCCCAAGAGGCCCTCAAGATAGTCCATGATGGCCCCGAGTCGCCCAAGATGGCCCAGAGACGGCCCAAAGAGGCCCCCAAGACGTCCGCAGAGGGCTCCAAGAGGCCCCCCAAGGAGGCCTCGAGCTGCCAAAATCATTGGTGTTCCGCACGTTCCCCCCACATCCTCAGTGGGGTGCTTGTTTTCTCTGGGCACCCCGCGCAGTCCTGACGTAACCTCCCGCGCAAGAACAGTGGTAATCGCCATCATCATCGGCATTGTCATTGTCATCGACATCGTCATCGTCATCGCCATCGCCATCACCACATCATCGTCATCATCAGCAGCATCATCAGCATCATCAGCATCATGACAATCATAATCATCATCAACAGCATCATCAGCATCATCATCATCACCACCACCACCACCACCACCATCATCCTCCTCCTCCTCCTCCTCCTCCTCCTCCTCCTCCTCCTCCTCCTCATCATCATCATCATCATCATCATCATCATTAGAGGCCCCAATAGGCCACGAACGCGCAGGCATACGCCTGCGATGGCACAATACAGGCCGGCGGAATGAGCCAAGCGATTTAATAGTCCCAAGTGGACGAATGATGTGGAGGAGGAGGAACTGGAGGGAGGGACTGCGGGTAGATGAGGTGCATGGACTGGGGGTCCCTGGGTGCGCACTCTCTTGATTCGCATCGATACCGCCAGGGAGCTACCTGATGGCAGAGCGGCTTCTTGTTCGTGGCATTGGATGCCAGCCGGCGAGGAGTGGAATCAAGTCCAGAGGCCCCCGACCGAGGCCATAATTCACGGCGCGAATGTCCGTGCGCATGTGGCCAAAGCCAAGCCCATGCATCACATCCCCTCGTGACCATAGCCTGGTCGAACTGGCCACAGGGAGGCGTTCGCAATACCCCACATCGGCGCCGCAAAAGCCCCCTGCTTCTCTTGCCAATCGATGTTCCGTCACTTCCCCAACCTGAGGCGATCGGCTCCCGCCGTCCAGATCTCCTGGCTTGACCGCCTGAGGATGGGGAGGTGGAGAAAGGATTCTGCGACTCCGCAGGGTGTGGTTTGCAAAGGGTGTGGTTTGCAAACGGCACCCTGGGGGCTGGGCGGAGACCTCGATAGAGTTCTCCGCCGCGCCCCGAGGAGGCCCGACGAGGACGGTGCCGTGCCCCCAGGCCCCAACGGCGCCCATCGCATACCACACCCCGGCGCAACCATGCCCTCTGCAGTCGCCGAAGTAGGAGGACCCAGCGATCCGATGTCGTGATTTTTTCAATGCGGGGTCCCCGGCAGTCTCGACCCTTTCCCCAGGACTGGTTTTTCATCCTGAGCCGTTTTTTGGCGGTCCCGGGGCCCGGCGAGGGCCCCCAGAGGCCAAAAACTTAGAAAAAAACCCGTCCTGACTTTTTCAATGCGTTGCATCTCTGGGGAAAGCGATGGGGCGAGCGAGAAGGGGCGAGAGCCGGTGGGATGAGAGCCGCAGGCCGAGGCAGGCGGCGGCCTGCTCGGCGATCGGGGGGGCCAAAGGGGGCCGGCCGTGCCCGAGTGGGCAGTGCGGGCGTGCGGAGGAGGAGGGGAAGCGAGGAGCAGCCGCGGCCGAAACTCTAAGGGCCCTGCCGCGTCCATCCGCCCCATCTTCTCCAGGAGGACGGCCAGGCTGCTGAGCGACGTCAGAGTTGAGGGGTGCGTCTTGCCCAGCACCTGCCACCGAGACGCCACTTGCCCTGCTCTGCGCCCACCGCCACCGCCCTCATCCTTCCTCCCCCCCGGCCCTCGCCCCTTTTCGCTCACCCCTCCTCTCGCCTGTCCTCTTGCCCACCCACCTTCTCGTCGTCCAACTGCCCTTCCCCTTCCTCCTCCTCCTCCTCCTCCTACTCCTCCTCCTCCTCCTCCTCCTCCTCCTCTTCCTCCTGCTCCTGCTCCTGCTCCCTCCTCCTCCTCCTCCTCCTCCTCCTCCTCCTCCTCCTCATTCTCCTCCTCGTCCTCCTCGTCGTCGTCCTCCTCCTCCTCCTCCCTCCTCCTTCTCTCTTCTCCCTCCTTCTCCCTCCTCCGTCCTTTCCCCCTCCCTCCTACCACCCGAGGACGAGGAGGATGAAGAGGAGGAGGAGGAGGAGGAGGAGGAGGAGTGTAAACCCAAGACGCGCTAACCATGTGGCAATCAACCCTCCCTACAAGCTCCCTCTTCATAGGGACCATCAGTCCCTACAAGAATTCATTGACCTTGCGGGAAATGCCCCATTGGATTACAGCCGCATGAGAATCCTCAATCATGCCAGAACACAGGTCCTGGGATTTCAGCGTCGCGTATCAAAGTGACAGTTGCGCCCAGACAAGCTTGAATCGTGCCAGAACACCATTCCTGGTAATTCGACGCCGCGAATCAACGTGACGGTTGCGTCCTGACATCCCTAAATCTTGACAGAACGCCTCTCGTGGGACTTCGACCATGCGAATCCTTGAAACCGTTGCAAACTTTCGAACGAATTTGCGCGGAGCTAAGGCGAGAACCGCATTCTGAAAAAGAGCCGTCCTTCATCCTTGAAGCTGCTGCAAGCATTTAAGAAGAATGCGCGCGGCGCTAACGCGAGAACAACAGGTTGAAAACCCGCCATCCATCCGTTAAGCTTCTGCGATATTCTAAAACACGTATGTGCGGCGCAAGGGCGAGAGCCACATTTCGAAAATCACCCGCCCTCCATCCTTGAACCTGTCGCAAAGCTCAAGCTTCAGAACCATCAGTGATCATGAGGTCTCATGCGAAACGCCGGGCCCGCCCCACCGACACGTCTGGGGGCGCGACGGAGAGGAGCCAGCACGAGGAAGAAAGGATGGAGGAGCAGGAGGAGAAGGAGGACGACGGCGACGAAGACGCAGCAGCAGGTAGAGTCAAAAACCCTAACAAGGACGCGCGGTAAGGACGCAAGACCCTTGGAAGCCGAAGTTGGGCTTTTGGGGCGGCGGACGACGAAAACCTCAAGGACGCAAAAGCAAGGAAGAGCAAGGACGCAAGGGTACCCTGAGCAAAGTCGCGCGTCCTTATTAGGGTTTTTGACTGTAGTGGACGACGAGGACGGCGGCGCTCGACACCCCAGCCCGCGCCGCGCTGGGACCTTGCGCCTGCCCTCCAGGCAGCTCCGGCAGAGCGGCTCGGCCTCGTGGACGTTCCCCAGCGCCTGGCCGGGAACCCGGCGAGGAGGGGAAGGAGGGAGAGAGAGAGGGGAGGCAGGGAGAGGGAGGGGCGAGGCAGAATGAGCAGGAGGGAGGGGGGAGGATGATGAGGAGGAGGAGGAAGAGGAGGAGGAGGAGGAGGAGGAACCCTGCGAGGGTGGGGACGTCCTTGTAGTCCCAGGAGGTCAGCTGGTCCAGAATCTCCTGCGCCGGCGTACCAGCGCGCTCCAGTCACTCCAGAATCAGCTCGATGGTAACGAAGCGCGGGGGTGTACCTTGTAAACAAATGATTGAAGCCTCGGATGAACCTTCCCTCGTAGCCCTCGATGTCGACCTTGGCGATCACGATGGCCTTCATGGCTGGGTTGTGATGAGGGCATAAGGTCACCGGTGGTGAGGGGTACAGAGGACTCCTTCACGACAACCTTTTGGACGTACTTCTCACGGCGTAGGGGTACACGTCCACGTTCTTCAGCCTGCTGTCCAAGATGCCCGCCGCGAGGTGGTCAGCGGTGGGCGGCATCCCCTCCACGGCGAGCACTCGCCCGCCGCCTCCGAGGCAGACCGCCAGGAGAACGGCGAAGGTGCCGATGTTGGCCCCGATGTCGAGGAAGTTGCCGACGGCGCCGCTCTCTTGCGGCAGAGGCGGCACGGCTCCTGGACGTGCCCGGTCTCCCACCCGTTCCCTTTCGAGGAGCCCGGCGGACACCAGCGAGTCCCTGACGAACGAGCAACACGCACCCGTGCCCACAGGTGGGACGGAGGAGGCCATGGGTGCGTGTCGTCGGATGGGGGTCCCCGCTCGAAAGGAAGCGCCCCCCAGGATCCGACGACAGCCCGCACCCATACCCACAGCCAGCGCTCCTCCCAGCGTTCCCCCCTGTGGGCATGGGTGTGCGTGTTGTCCGTTCGCCCAGTCCTCCCAGCGGCCGAGCGCGGCGAATGCCGAGGCTTTCGTCGCCCACGAGGCTCCTGGCTTCGGCGTGGTGGAGCGTGCCCGCCTCCACGGTGCGCGGGCCCTCACGCCCGGCGGCGAGGCCCGCGGGCCTCGGGCCTCCCGCCGGGCTCTCCCCGCTCGCCCATGGCGGGGCGCGGGCCGTGGCGAGAGGCCCGCGGGCGGCGCAGGCCGCGGCGGCAAGCCGCAGTGGGGCCAGCGCCCGTCTCGGCCGCCCACGTGCGCGCGCAGGGGGGCGTCGCGGCGAAACACCGGGCCGGCCACGGAACGGGTACGGTCTCTGGCGGGCCGGCCTGGGCCCAAATAGCTTGAGCCAAAATGGCTACGGGGGAGGAGGAGGAGGAGGAGGAGGAGGAGGAGGAGGAGGAGGAAGTGGAGGAGGAGAGGGAGGACTCATTTTGACTCTTTCTGGGCTGCGTGCCGGAACCCGGCGTATCAGCCAAGGCGAGCCGCGGCCTGATTCGGCGCGGGGCCCTCTGGGCTTCATCAATGCCCCAATCCAGCATCCCACAAGCGGCAAGCTTTTCGCCATGTGCTCAATGTGAGTGCACCGCGAACTACATGCGGCGAGCTCCGCGCTAGAGCTCGTGGCGGTGCCCACGCCGAAACTGTGGACCATCCAAGGGTACCTGCCGATCTTCACCCATAGAGCCCATGCTGCACCAGCTTTGCCTTCCCGCCGCCCGCCGTCGAACCTGGCCACGACGTTTGCCTCCGCATGCCCTTTCAAGAGCTCCCTCGGCAGAGGTTGATTGCAGGGAGGAGGAGGAGGAGGCGGTGGAGGAGAAGGAGGAGGAGAAGGAGGAGGAGGAGGAGGATAAGGACGAGAAGAAGGAGGAGGAGGAGGAGAAGAAGAAGAAGAAGAAGAGCCGCCGTGGGGACGCAGTGTCCCGAGAGGAGGAGGAGGAGGAGGAGGAGGAGGAGGTGGAGGACTGGGAGGAGGAGAATGAGCAGGAGGAGGAGGAGGAGGAGAAGGAGGAAGAGGAGGAGGAGGAGGAGGAGGAGGAGGAGGAGGTTGGAGCGTCTGGGGGGGCAACGTCTTCTGACCGCACTAGGGCCGACGCGGCCGCCTGCGGCCTGCTTTGCCGAGGAGCAGGTCGACGGCCTGGAGGAGGAGGAGGAGGAGGAGGAGGAGGAGGAGGAGGAGGAGGAGGAGGAGGAGCAGCAGGGAGAAGGAGCAGGAGGGAGGGAGGCGGGGAGGGAGGGAGAGGAGGGGTAGAGGACGACGAGGGAGAAGGAGGAGGAGAAAGAGGAGAAGGAATAGGAGGAGGAGAAAGGCGACGACGAGGGATGGGAGGAGGAGGAGGGAGGGAGGCAGACGTGGAGGAAGGAGGTAGCAGGAGGAAGAGAAAGGAGCAGGAAGGGCATCTCCTCCGACTCCTCCTTTGTTCGGAGTTTCTTCGGGAGCGGCCAAAAGGAGGGCGTCCAAGAGGGGGGGGTGCAAATCATGACCGGCGGCACGTGCGCGGCCCAGCGGGGGGGCCAGGGACGCAATGAAATAAGAAGAGGCGCCATGAAATCTGAGGAAAAATCCTGGCCCCCGCCACGATATCCACCCCCCCAGTCATCACCCCCCTCCTTTCCGCCCCCGATTTCTGCCTCCCTCCTGTGCCCCCGGAGACCCGGGCCCACCGAGGCACGCCGCAATGCGCCTGCGGACGCGCTCGGCTGGCTTTCGGGGGAGGAAGGGGGGAAGGGAGAGGGGAGGCGGGGGGGGAGAAGGGAGTGGGAGAATGGGATGGAGAAGAGGAGGGGGGAAGGAGGAGGAGGAGGAGGAGGAGGAGGAGGAGACAGCCCATAGAGGTGTCAGGAGATCTTGTCGGCAACGGCCTTTTTCGCCTTCCTGAAAAGGAGTGGAGAAGGGGGGAGCGGAGCGGAACGGAGGGTGAGTGGTGCTGGAGGCGCCCAGAGGGGGCTGTATGGGGGAGGGGGGGCAGGGGAAAACAGCAGGAGGAGGAACTGGATGAGAAGCGGGAGTGGGTGCGGGGGAATGAGCGGGAAGGGAGAGCGACGGAGAATTGGAGAGGGAGGGTTAAAGTACGGGAGCAAGTCCGTTTCGTTCCCTCTCTCTCTCTCTTTCTCGTCTCGTCTGTCGAAGCATACGCGCATAAACATGCATGTTCCATCCTGCGAAACAGGGCCTACAGCAACCTGCTCGAGACTGCATCAGAGATGCAACCAAGACAGACAAGATCTACCCGTGACCATTTCTGCCCGAACACTTCTCCATGGCAACACAAATCTGTGAACCACGAATGAACCCACAGAACTACTAACCAGACTGACTGCTCAACAAATACAGATTTCGCGGGGGAGCCCAATTGACCAGGAATATGACGGAACGTATGACGGAAAGGAGGAGGAGAAACGGCAGGGCAGAGGAACACGAGGCAACAAGTCGTGCGTTCGTTGACTGTCCACGATGGGCGCCCTCACACTCTGAGGCGCGTACATGTACTGCTACCTGGGTAAATCGTGGCCGAATCCGGAGACCGTGAACTCACAAATGTTGACGTCTCGCCTTTGCTTCCACCGCTGGTTTTAGGAAATTCGTCTTTGCGCGACCCGCTCTGACTCGACTCGCCGTTTGCGCTTTCGCTTGCGGCTGCCGACTGACAACTTTGCTTCCACCGCCTTCCGCCAGCCTTCCGCCGGCTTGCGCCAACCTGCGGTGCGGTGGGCCACCGCCAGACCGCACCCGCCGCCGTTTTGCTCCCGGACTCCCCCCGCCGAGGGCGAGGAGGCGTCGAGGGCCAGGCCCGTTGCGGAGCTCCCCGTGAGTGTGGGCGCGCGCGCGCGCCGGGCGTGCGCTTCCCAGGCCGCGCCTGCTCTCTGAGGAGTTGGTATCCTGTCGCCGAAGTTTCGTCGGTCGATGCGCGGCGGTGCGCAGCGAGATGGCTCCCTGTGAACTTGCCTGGCGGTGGTCACATGACGGGGTCCACAGGGCTCTCGGTCACGATCAGACGGTGTGGCCCTCTAAGGATGCCCACGGTTGTGGTCCGAAGACATGGCCCCCTGGTAAGTCCCTACTTGCGGCCGGATTGCCAGGTACCCTTAGGGCTTCCCTAGTTGCATGCAGGCGATAGGGCTCCCACCGATAGGGTGCCACCTGTAGGTCCCCACCGATATATGGCACCTCATGGGTTGCACCATCGAGCTGAGTCACACATGCTGCGCCCAATTGGACTGCACCACAAGTAGAATTGGCAGAGTCACTGTGTGGAGCCCACTGGCTGGTATCGCATACCTTCCCCGAACACTGCTTGCAATTCAGGTTCTTACTGGCGCTGCAAGGAGCTCGCCTGATGGGGCGGGGAAAGCCGTCCTCGCCTCCACGCAAACCACTGTGCCAATGTCGCCGCCACCGCGCGACCCACCGCGAAACTCCCGCGAAACCCACCGTGCACCGCGCAACCCACCGCAAAATCCACCGCACAATTTCACCCTGCAACCTACCGCGCAGTGCGCAACCCACCGAGCAACAATCACACCACCCACCACGCAGCCCACAAGAACTGGCCCATTTGGGCAAATCTTTCTTTTCTCGCCACCGCTCAACCACCTTGCAACTTCTGTGCAACCGTTGCCGACACAGTGCAACCCACCGCGCAGCCCACCACGCAAACCACCATGAATCGCGCACCCCACCGCGCAGCCACCGCACAACCGAGCCACCCCGCACCGCGTAACCCAACGCGCGACCCAGCGCCCGACCGACCAGCAACTCATCACGCAACCCATCGCGGATGGGGTTCCAAGCAAATCGAGTTTCACACGCACGGCGTTGCATCGGCATGCCGTCCCACAAACATAGCTTCCACGCGCGTGGTGCTTCACACACACACACACATGCGACTGCACGCGCATGGGGCTCCAGTCACGGGCGTTCACACACCTGGGGCTCTACACTGGCTGAACTCTCACACGCAAGTGGGTTCCACACAGAGGGGTTCACACAAATGACTGGCTGCCCATCACATGTGCACACACACACAGAGACGCACACACACTCTTCCGAGGCGTCGCGGGCCACGAGCGCAGCGTCGTGGCGGAGAACGTCGGGCGAGGAGACGCGCGCGGCCGGCCCACATGCGCATATGCATGCATGCACTCTCACATGGTTGTGCGGACATGGCTGCACACATCTGTTATCACACGCAGGTGTATACATCTATATACTGATATATAGATATATACATATATGTGTATACATATATATATATTCATAGGTGTATATATATAGTAATATAGATTGAAAGATACAGGACTCCACGCGCAAAGCGGGTTTCCCAACTTGGGCTCCATGCGTATATGCATCCACACAGACATGAGCACATACACGAAGCACCTGCTTGGGGATCACGCCTGGCATCACCCGATGTTTTACCCACGCGTCCGTTGTTGCGCGCGGCCTCCCTCTCTCTCACTCAATGTGCATGTGTGTGTGTGGTGTCTCTCTCTCTCTCTCTCTCGATGCCCCTGCGCTCCACTCTCGCTCCTCATTTAAAACTCGTCACCTTCCAGACATCACCCACCCTCACCGTGAGCAACACCACCATCATTACCACCACGTCCGCCTCCTGATCCTACTCCTGCTTCCGATGGCCGTTATCCATCTCTTCCTTCTCCTTCTCAACATGCGTCCTTGCCTGGAGCACGTCGGAGAAATTGCTGGCAGAGCTCAGCGTCATCGGGTGCGCGGGACCGAGCACCTGAGAAGGGAGATGGGGGTCATGGAAGCGAGCCTGACTATGGTCATGTGGTGCAGCGTGTCTCTTGCATACGGTTGGCATGGGAAAAGAGCTACCTCCTCCGTGGCCAGCGGGGGGGGGTCACCGTGGAGCAGTCATGGACCTTTCCCCGTGAGTTCGTGGGGTGCAGCACGCGTGCAGAAATCTGCGTCTCCCTCCCCCATCCTTCCCCATTGTCCCACGGCTCCAGAGGTTGCCGACCACTCACATCCGTTTCTCCTGTTCCGCCTCCTCCTCCTGTTTCTCTCCTTCCTCCTCCTGTCCTCCCACTCTCCCCTCGCGCACATACTCGCCATCGCTCGGACGTCCACTCCCCGTGTTTTTTTCGGTCTCGTGCGTGGCTGTTCCGCTGAATGATCCAGGATGCTCCCCGATGGTCCACGCCGAAGGAAACATGCACACGTCCGAGCGATGCCAGGACACATGTATATATGTATAAGGTTTGTAATCCCGGAATCGAATGACAAGGCCGCAGCAGTTAATTTCCTATTACTAGGGAAACAATAGAAATCACGTTTTCCTATTAATATAGAAAAAATAGAAAACACATCTTCCTATTAATATAGAAAAAGGGCGCCTCCTAGGCACCGATATCGTCCTCCTATGGGCGCCTCCTAGGGCGCCTCCTAGGGCGCCTCCTATGGCACCGATATCGTCCTCCTCCGTGACCCCGGCAGCAGCGCTACGTGTGAGTCTCGGCAGGTGGCCGCGGACGCTGGCGCCCACGGTCGGACGCAGGGCTCGAGGTACCTGGGTGCTCTGGTGCTCTGCGTGCCTCGACCTACGGGGCGATCCTCCTCCTCCTCCCCCTCCTCCTCCTCCTCCTCCCCCTCCTCCTCCTCCTCCTCCTCCTCCTCCTCCCCCTCCTCCTCCTCCTCCTCCTCCTCATCCTCCTCCTCCTCTTGTTCCTCCGCCTCTCCCCTCCCTCCCCCTCCTCCTCTCCTCCTCCTCCTCCTCCTCCTCCTCCTCCTCCTCCTCCTCCTCCTCTTGCATATCCTCCTCCCCCCCTCCTCTTCCTCCTCCTCCTCCTTCTCCTCCTCCCCCTCCTCCTCCTGCATCCCCTCTTCTTCCTCATCCTGCATATCTTCCTCCTCATCCTCCTGATCCCGAGCTCGCTGCCCCGCAGCGACCTTTCGCCAACACGGTCCAATCTTCTGCTGACAGCCGTTGTTCTGTCGATGCTCTTTCTGCTGGAGAGCGGTCCCGCGCGCGTTCGTCAAGCGGCGCCAACCTACAGGTTGCACCGGCAGAAAGTCTGCTTTGGAGAGCGGGCCTGTTTCGCCATCGTCTCAGCGGGCCTGGCCAGCAAACGTCACACCAACCAAATACACACTTCGAGCTCCTTCCACGGAGCTATCTAGACTAGACTGCATGCCATGTCCACGATCGTGGTGTGTTGCTCTGTTTTCCGAAAGCGGGGTCCACCGTTGTACAATGAAGTGCCCTGTCTGTCCACCTCTTCCCAACCCGCCTCAGGCTAGAGAGTTTTCGGGCTTATGGGTGGGAGGGATGCACCATTTGCTTAGCGTGTTTAGCTGGGCCTCAACAGTTGTTTGCTGA